GGGGGGGGGGGGGGGGGGGGGGCGGGCCGGCCTCCCGAACGTTGGACGCCCTCTGTGGTCCCTCTCCCCGCAGGCGGGAAAAGAAACGGCTACAACGGTCGGCCGTTTCGAAATTCCAGCGTGTAAGCGGTGTGTGCGTTCTATGTAAAACGGCAGAGGACGCCTGCTTTCGTCATTTGTCCTCTTATGTTTATCGCCGTTTGCTTTGCTGGTTGGGTGGCCTGCGCCGTCATTGTGTCTGCCCTGCTGGAGGGCGTCAGGTGTTGATGGCCGACGTCATCCGAAAGCTGCCAGTGCTCGTGCTTGTCATCGTTCTCCTTGTTTTTGTCGTCCTCCTCCACGTGTGCGTCCTCGGGAGAGCGCCTGGACGCGCTCGCAGGAGACGAGGGCCGAAGAAAGCCGTCACCATGGATGTCAGGAATGCGAATGCGCGAACGTGGACATGGGCGCCTCCTTAAGGCCGCCGTCGTGAGAGCTCCGCCGTCTCCCGAAGGCCGGTTGGTCCGTCGAGTTACGATCACCTCCCCCCCCACTTGCAGCCGCTGCCAGAGTCTTCGGACGGGGAGGAGGAGGGAGAGGACACAAGAAGTGTCCCGCTTGGCAGCGGTTCGACCTAGGATTGGGGGGGCAGCCAAATTGTATAGTTGCCGCGGTGATGTGCCCGAGCAGACGTTCACCGAATTGCTCGAAGAAGGCATGCGCGGAGACGACAACGGTCGTGCAGTCGACCTTACATTCACCCTGGGCAGCAGCAGCTCGTCCACCGCCACGCGGACTGTGCTTGTGAACCCGCATCTGGACGACGATGCGGGGCAGGTGACCCTGGTCGACGGAGGATCGAGGGGTGTCTTCAGGCGGAAGGAGACAACGGATGCCCGGAGGGAGTGGCCGACGTCAACAACGCCGTCCACGTCAGTCCCCCGCAGCGGTGGCGGTGGTGTGCAGCGGATGCCCCCCCCTTCAACGACAAGTGGCGGGCGCAGCGACGTCCGCCGTGTAGTGGAACGATGGCGACCTGAGAGGACTTCGAATTCGAGGGCGATCAAGTGGACGGCAGGCGATTGTGGACGGAGAGCGGGCAGGAGATGCGGCAACAGAAAGCGAACTCAATAACGTCGGGGGTGCAACGTTTGACCGTGGGTGGTCGGGACGCCGATGAGGCGGGTGTTGGTGGCGGACTAGCGTCGGCTGACAACGGCGAGGGCCATTGGTCCCAGCCAGAGGAGGACACTGCGGAAGCGTTCCCCTTGCGTCCACCGAACATGGGTGGGCGCGGTGGGAGGAGGAGGGCTGCGAAAGCCCCCGACCATCATCGGAGAAAGGCGGTGGCCGGAGGCGCCAACGGGGATGGTGACGTGGACGACGAAGGTGGGCGGAACTTTTGGTCAGTCGACCATATGATAGCGTTGATCAGGGCGAAGCGGGACCAGGATGCCCAGCTGCAGGCGTCAGGCCATGCTTTCGCCCACATGCGGACGAGGGAGTGGAAATGGGCAGAAGTTCAAGAGAGGTTGTTGAAGGTTGGTGTGGACCGGCCAGCCGACAAGTGCAGGAAGAAGTTCGATAATCGTATGCAGCAGTTCAAGAAGGTCCACAACTTCATGCGCGAGTCAGGCAAGTAGGACTTCTTTCAGTTCAGCAAGGAGCAGCGGGCGGAAAAGGGATTCAATTTCACCATGGATCGAGCCGTGTATGACGAGATAAAGGGAGCAACAGAGAAGAGGCACACAATCAACCCGACGAATGTCGTCGACACCGGCTGTGCGGGAGGTGTGCATATTCCATCGGCGGCGGCGGCCGCACCAGAGTCTGTAGGAGATGGGGAAGCTGGCGGTGATGGCAATGATGACGACGACAGTTCCGGTCCTAATTCCTCGCAACCGACGGGTAGATCGAGTGGCCAGGGAAAGAGGAAGAACATGTGACAACAACCATTCGACGTCGTGACAGAGTGTATGGAGAAGCATGGGGCGTTGATGGCGTCCACCATGGAGAGCTCCAGCAACAGGCAATGCTCCATTTAAATCCGGCAGTGCGAGGCTTTCGAAGCTGAGGTGGAGGTGCAGAAGAGACACTACGCCGCCTCCGAGGAAGTCAGCAAGTTGATATGCCATGCACTGCTGGAGATTGTGAAGGCGTTGCGAGAGCGGTAGACGTGACGTCGACGGCACACAATGGTCGCCCGCGTTGTCGGCGTACCCGCTTTGACGGTTCCCCTGCCAGACCATGGGAGCGGTAGTCAGCACTCTCTCGTCAGAACTGTGTGCTCGGCATGATGGCTGACAATGTTGACAAGGAACTATGATCGTTGTCAAGCATGCGTCTTTTTTCCTGGCGGTGTCTCCCTCTATAACCCGCGGTTATTCATTGTCGTCGAGTTCATGTCGGTCGTCTGTGGTTCATGCCTTTCAGTGTTCCTGGTTCTTCGAGGTTGCGTCGTCGTAGGGAGCGAAGGTGATGGCATCACCTTCTTCTTGTCATGTTAGCCAACGCAGGATGTGTGCATTCTGTTGTTTTTTTTTATTAAATTTGTCGTTGATCAGTCCTGCTTTGGCGGTTCCCCTTTTTTGTTGTGGACGCCAAGCCACTGCGCCGTCATCGTAGACCTGTCTCTTATACACATCTAGATGTGTATAAGAGACAGCTTTGATACAGTATGGTACATGAGCAGTGGACGAACATTAGAAAGTACCTGCCAGCATTGATTGCTCTGGTGACCAGAGGATTAACTGAGCAGGGATAGGAATGGCTTGAACCGTGAGTCTACCGACAGGGAGGATCCAGCTGACTATCTCAGCTGGTTGGCACCAAGAGTGCTACAGGCGGCCATGGGGATTGAACCCACAACCTCCTGAATGCCACTTGCATGCCTAAGCAATTGAGCTAGGCCGCTGTAGATTCAATTTGATACTGTAGCTGATACTGTAGCTGTCTCTGGGGCATAAGGAACAAAAAAAAAAAAAAAAAAAAAGGGGGTAGCTGTCTCTGGGAGCAGTGGCAGTGGTTCTCTCAGCGCCGTTCTACCCTGCGGTCTGGCGCCTGGCCTGTCTACAACAATCTGGGCTTCAAAAAAAAACAAAGAGAGAGATGAGTGAGCATTACTTCTGCTCTGGAAGAGGCTTTGGGTCTCGTTAGACACTCCTCGGGTGCCGAAATTCCTCAAGGAAATGATCGTTCCACCTATCTGGAGACGAATTCTGAAGAACACATGTGAAAACATTTCCTCGGGCGGCCCCAAGGATTTCCTCGGGCTACAGCCATTTTGCTGCGTTCCCCGAGGAACCTTGCAAGGTCCCTTGGAGAACGAGTGTCCGCAAAAAACGGGACGGCGGCGGCAGCTATCGTCGTCCTCCAATTTCAGCAGGGTGGTACAAAGGTGGTCCAACGGGGCCGTGGGCGGACACATGCAGGCGCCAATGTTCGGGTGCCGGGTACGAAGGATGGCAACGGTTACTTTGGTCGG